TTGCCGGACACGGAAAAAAAAAAAAAAAACAAAAAAAAAAAAAAAAAAGGAAAACCTCACAAATAAAAGAGAGACCAGAACAAGCAGGAGAAAAAAAATTTGGAGAAAATAGAGCAAAATAAAAACTAGTAACAAAAAATTATAATAAATACCCTTAAAATAGTATTGCATCCATGAAACACCATTGGGATGTGTGCCAATTCTATTGGCTCTAAGCTCCATTCCCACCCCTTTGAGGTCTTCTCTGTAACACAGCATAGAAGCTGGCCAATTACATTTCCAGACTCCTATGCAGCTGCTTCTGGTTGGGTTCTACCCATGGGAGATGCTGGTGGGGACTGGAAGGTAGGAGGAAAAAAGGAGGCATTTCCTATTTTGGTAGTGCCTCTGGCAGCAGAAATGGCAGCAGTGACAGCGGTGGTTTCAGTAGCATCAGTGGGAGTGGGAGCTCCTGACTTCCTGCTTAGCAGCAATGGTACAGTTCAATGCAATAGTGGCAGGAGCTGAGCTTCCAGCAGAGCAGCAGTGAGTGCGTGCTTTGGGCACCGGCAGCTTCCTGATCTTTGGGTAGCGTCATTTCTTCCCTTTTGCTTCTCCAACCCTCCTGACATCATAGCCAATCCGTTCCATCAAATCCCTCTCTGCTTAAAATATCTAAAGTAGCTTCTGTTTCTTTGAGTGAACACTGACTGACTGGGATGCTATAAAAAAGAAACATTCAAAAAGTAATAAAGAGTTCTTGGATATTAAAAATGTAAAAGAAGAAATAAAAAAATTCAGTGGAAAGGTTAGAAGAGAATGTTGATAAAATCATTCAGAAAGTAGAGAAAAACAAAAATAAAACAAAAACCCAATCTAAGAGTTCAAAATTTACAGTAAATTGTAACATCATTATATAACCTTATCACGATACAAATTATTCTCATGCTATTGTACAAACACTATGCAGTGCTGAGAGCATGCATCCTGCCTTGCATCTGAGTGTGACATACATGTATTGTAGTGATGTACTGGTTACTACAATTTCTTTTTGTGGTGGTTGGCCTGTATGGGGACCTGAATCCATGACCTTGGTGTTACCAGCATGATTACTATAATTTCAACAGAGCAGAGAAGTGTCCATTTAAAGAAAACTAGAGGAAGACTATAATATTCTATTTAATGACACTCTGACAAGAACATTAAATATATTCATGAATAGATAGGTTTCATTTGAATGTCCACGTACATATTAATTGATGTCAAACAGGAAGAGGTTTTTCCAAAGGGTTAAAATTTATTAAACAATAGAACTTGGTGCTTCCCTTTAGTCTGTCTCTGAATTCAGTTGATTGACAAGTCATTAGTAGGCTGTCCTCACTAGTCATTTTCACTACGCACAGATCTCAAATATTTAGGTGGCAATTCCCATTTCTCTGGAAGTCTCTTAAATTACTTTCAGTTACAACAGAACAGCAAGGTTTTTATCTATTCATACTTTACTCCATCGAAGGCAAAACCACATCCCACAAATCTCTTGTTTAAATTGTGGCTGTTTGCACACAGCATATAAATGTAGAACTTAATGTTAACACACAAAAAATACAGTATAATCTCTGTATGCTGTAACAGTAGCTTCGTTTTCATTTTTTCAATAATTATTTTTATTTTTATTATCCCTCCACAAAGAAGTTATAAAAATACCTGTATAAACATTAAAAAGGCACTTTAAAATCTTAGGCTGATAAGATACATCTATGATTTATAAGAATAAAATGTTAAATCGTACAAGTTAGAATTTCTGAATGATTTTGATAGAAATTTACTAGAAGAAACCAGAACATCAAACCTTAAATATTTTCTATTTCAACACTAATTAAGTTTTTGAGAAGCTACACATTCATTGACAAGCACATACTCTCAGTAACTTGATAAGGGCAGAGATTTGTATGCTAGATGTGCTGGGCCCTTCCATACAACTGACTGAAGTGGTCTTCTCTTAGTTTTCCCCTTATATTTAGAAGTACAAATATACACATGGTAAAAAATGTAAATAGTGCAGAAAGACCTAAAATAATAAGTAAATATCCTTTTCTCTTATAACACAACAAATCTGACTTCTTCAAAATCCTTAAACAGTCATATAAGTAATTCACAAACTGAAGTCAACCTGTGGTCTGTATCTGAAAATTATCTTTAAGCCTTTGGAACTGTGTTGATTGCCTCTTGTTATTACCTCTGCCATAGAGGAAAGCCACATAGTCTTCTCTTTCTTCAAAAAAAAGAAAAATTTAAAAAGCAACATGCACACGCTGTGCAGGGACAGCAAAGTTCAGGCAGCACCTCAGACTCCACTGGATCTAGTCATGGCTGCGGAGAGAGTCACTGGCATCATCCCTGAAATTTAGGAATCATATTTACTAACAAGGCATTTTCAAAAGTAAGAAAACTTTTTCTTAATAAAAATGAGGTCCTTTATAAAATGGAGGCTTGGGCCGGCCCGGTGGCGCACTGCTACAGTGCACCGCTTGGGAGCACGGCGGCGCTCCCGCCGAGGGTTCGGATCCCACATACAGACCGGCCGCTCACTGGCTGAGCGAGGTGTGGGCGCGGCGCCGAGGGTTGCGATCCCATTGCCGGTCCCGGTCTGGTATGGCCGCGACACTGAGGGTTGCGATCCGTTGCCGGTCATGAAAAAAGACAAAAAGGAAAAAAAAAAAAAATGGAGGCTTAACTCTGTCAGAGATTTGGGTCATCTGGTCATTACTTAATAGAAAAATATCTTTATTTAACATTGTACAAAAGGGGATGAGCCATAGAGTCCCAAGCAGTCAAATTAAAAGTAGGTGAAACCTGTACTAGATAAAGGGAAAGAGATGGCAGGGAACTAGGATGGGGAAGGGAAATTCCTTCAGAGAAACTCCAACTCCAGTGATGAGAAGCTAAGCATTTTCCCCGCAAAGTACACTTACTCTCTGGGTGAGCAGGAAAGACAGACACTGGGTGCGGGAGCTCAGCCAAGTCCTTCCTCAATGCCTCGGATCCTCCTGGCCAGTTGCACATCCTTCGGGAAAAGAGTAACTCGGCCAGCATGTAAGGAGAGGAGATAGGCATCCTCAAAGAGATGAACTAGAAATGCTTCTGCTGCCTGGGGGCAGAAAGAGAAAAAGACTGACACAGATGAAGGGGCATGAGCTGCTTTTTCTAGGAGACCTGCTAAACTTAATCTCTGAGGGCTCAAAAGGACTGCAGGAAAGATTATTCACAGAATGAGACTGAACTTTGCCTGGGAGTTCTGCTACCACCACACAGAACCAGCCTCCAAACCCACAGGTGTTCCTTGTTGTTCTTCTCAAGGAGGCCAGATTCAGCTTGTGACACTCCAGTCAGCCATGTGAAATTCTAGAATGCCTGTTTCTCCCAAACTCAGCCCTCACCCAATTGTGCCTTGGTCCCTTCTTACCTCTTGTAGGGCCAACAGGGCCTGGGCTTGCCAATTGAAGTCCACACCACGAGTGAATTTAGAACATATTTCTCTTGCCTGTGAAGAAGTTGGGATGGTAAGGAGTAAACACTAACAGAAACGAGATTCAAGGGAAGATGGACTGGCTCTTTCCAGGTGTCTCCAATGAATCCTCCTTCCCATTATCCCTTCCTAGCCCTTAATTTTAGGACCTAACTAGGAGGAGGTGTAATGCTGGGAGCTTAGAATTTGGCATATCTCTTATTGGTTGTAGAGAGATGAGGCAATCTGTCAGAGTAGGAAAAGGGATCTAAGGGTGGATGAACAATAGGGTTCCTATTTATATAGTCAAAGAACACATTTTCAAAGTAGTGGAGGTTAGAAATTAATTCTATAAAGAATTGAAAGGTGCCTTTGGAGGGCTCATGTTTTCAAGAGTCTCCAAGTTTTCAAGACTCTTCATCTTGAAGAGTATCCTACCAGGTTGGAGAAGAGTTCCCCCAGCCACTTAGGTAAGAGATAGTAAGTTCTCCAATACCTGGCAAATTTAAAGAAAGGAGGGTGGCAAGGGGGTTGGTAAGAAGCTCACTGAAGCTCACCAGGCGGCCGAAGGGTAGCCTCCTTATCAAGAGGTTTGTGCTCTTCTGAAGCGTTCGGATCTCCTTTAACCATTTATGTCTCCGCTGACCATATGGACGGGAGGAAGTGCCTGAGCAAAAGATTTGGGTCATAAATGGAAAGTGCAGTGGAAAACAGATGGTGTCTCGCAGCTTGGCTGAGACAGGCAAACTCTCAAGTCACTAGACTACTTTAACTATGCATAACTACACTCCACAAGAGCAGGGACTTCTGTCTATTTCATTCACTGCTGTTACCTACAGCAAATAGAAAACAGTAGACAGATACTAAATATTTGTTAAATGGATGATGAATGATCCTTTGAGGTTTATTTTAAATGCAAACTTCCATGAACACTTTCTAGGATCCTGATCCCTTCCAAATGGACAGGTCACCTCCCTCCTCTGGGCCCCACAGTACTTTGTACATCTCTTCTGTCTTTCCCACCTACATTGGAAACTCAGTTATTTTGTTTTTAGGTCTTTTTTTCCCCCACAGCTGGAAGAAATCTGAGGGATTATCTAGTATAACTCTCTTGTCTTGATCATCCTGATGTCCAGAGAGGTGATGAGTTGGCCAGAGCTCATTACTGACCAAGTTGGGACCTCGGAAGTGGCATAACTCAGTGCCATTGTCAGGAAGTTGGGCAATGGAGTTTTGGAATTTTGGCCTTTGGCTCAAATCCTGGTTCCAACAATAGGAAAGAAAAAAATCTTAAAAACATTTCCAAAAGTAGAAATCAAAAAAGCCAAATTTTCTAATCAAAAATTAAAACAAGAATAAAAAAAAATTTTTTTTCTTCTAACCCCTGTGTTGAAGGGAACCTAAGTTGAAATTAGACTACTTAGAAATGAGTAACAATAAAAAATCTGCATTACAAAACGTATGAGATATAGCCAATACAGTATCAGAGGAAAATACATAGACTTAAAGCGTATGCATTAGAAAACAAGAACATTAAAAGATAGCTGAGCTAAGCATTGAACTCAAGCATTAGAGTTATTAAAACAAACCAAAACAAGACAGAGCAAAATAAATATTAAAGATAAGATAAATTAGTGAAAATTAAAGTTAAAAAACAGTACAGTTGGGCTGGCCCGTGGCACACTCGTTGTAGAGAGATGAGGCAATCTGTCAGAGTAGGAAAAGGGATCTAAGGGTGGATGAACAATAGGGTTCCTATTTATATAGTCAAAGAACACATTTTCAAAGTAGTGGAGGTTAGAAATTAATTCTATAAAGAATTGAAAGGTGCCTTTGGAGGGCTCATGTTTTCAAGAGTCTCCAAGTTTTCAAGACTCTTCATCTTGAAGAGTATCCTACCAGGTTGGAGAAGAGTTCCCCCAGCCACTTAGGTAAGAGATAGTAAGTTCTCCAATACCTGGCAAATTTAAAGAAAGGGAGCGTGGTGCTGACAACACCAAGTCAAGGGTTAAGATCCCCTTACTGGTCATCTTTAAAAACAAACAAACAAAAAAAACAGTACAGTTGCTCAATAAATGCAACTAAGAACAAAAATGCACCTCTGAAAAACTGAACAAAGAAAAAAAAACACATACGAAAATAACATTTTGAAGGATAAAATTAGCTTCACACATGTTATTCAAGGTCCAGCCAAAAAAAGTGACTCTATTCCAAGTAGTTCAATAGAAGGGCTTTAGTACAGAGAACTAATTACAAAGTGTCAGAAGAGCTACAGGAGCAAATGAGAGGTATGGGAATCCAGAGATGCTTGTGCCAGGCAGCTGGCAGTGGAGACTTTATCCCTGAATGAGGTTAGGGAATGTGTCCAGGGTACTGATGTCATTTAAGAGAAAAAGGGAGGGAGGGGCTGGCCAGTTAGCTCACTCGGTTACAGCCTGGTGCTGAGAACATCAAGGTCAAGGGTTAGGATCCCCATACTTTAACAAACAGACATAGCAGTCATAAAAAATGTAAAGATAAACACAACGAAAAGACCACCAAACAATTTAAGAAGGCCAGCACCATGAAAGGAACCAAACTCAATAAAATAACCAACACCAGAAGAATCTGAGTTAATAGAGAAAAGAGAGACTTTTTTTTCCCTCCTACAGCTGGCCCGTACTGCGATCCGAACCCATGACTTTGGTGTTATAAGGCTGTGCTCTAACTGAGCTAACAACCAACCAGCACAAGAAAAGAGAGACCTTGAGAGAAAAATAGATAATAACCTCAGAGAAGAGAGATATGAAATCCATGACCTAAGAACAGCAGTTAGGAAAAGTAACCAATTAGAGAGATCACGGAGAAGAACCGAGATTAAAAATTCAATAGCTGGGGGCCGGCCCGGTGGCGCACTGGATAGTGCGCCACTTGGGAAGCGCGGCAGCGCTCCCGCCCGAGGGTTCGGATCCCACATACAGACCGGTTCCCGCTCACTGGCTGAGCGAGGCACAGGAGCAACGCCGAGGGTTGCGATCCCGTTGCCGGTCCCCGGTCCGGTACGGGGGCAACACTGAGGGTTGCGATCCGTTGCCGGACACGGAAAAAGACAAAAGAAAAAAAAAAAAAAAAAAAATTCAATAGCTGGGTCTTGAAATGCCAACATAAAGAGTTGGGATTTAATCCTAAAGTAATGAGAAGCCAGGGAAGAGTTTTAAGCAAGATGGAGAGGTGATCCATTTACATGTTGGAGATCATTCCAGCTGCTGTGTACTGAAGGAACTGGAAAGGAACAAGAGTTAAAGTGGAGTGGTGGCTGGCTAGGAGGCTCCCTCAGTCACTCTCAAGAGGGATGCTGGTGGTGTGAACTAGGCTGGGGGAGTAGAGATGGGACCAGGCAGAGTGATTAAGGATGCAATTTGGAGGTAGAATTGCTTGAACTTGCATTTGGATTGAATATATGGGGGTAAGAGAAAAGAATGTCTCCCAGGTTTCTGGCTTGAATAGTGGGTAGATGGCTGTGCCATTTACTGAAATGGAGAAAACTGGGGATGACAAGGTTGCAGGGGAGTAATCACAAATTCAGTTTTGGATGTGTTAAGTTTGACAAACCCAAGGGTGGTCAGTAGAAAGGTAAGCAATTGGCTATAGGTATCTGGAGTCAGAGGAGAGATGTGGGTAGATGTAAGTGTGAGGGCTGTCAGTGAATGCGTAATATTTAGCACCATAGGGATACACGAAATCACATGGGGAAAAGGTAGAAAGGCCAAGGAAGCCCAACATCAATGACCGAAGAGAAGCAGCACAGGCAGTCAAGAACACTCAGCAGGAACTGCCAGAATGTGTAGTGTCATGGGAGCCCTGTGACAAGGGAACAGAATATTTCAAGGAGAAAGTGGCTCACTGCATCAAATGCTTCTGAGAGACAGAGTATGAAAAGGATAACAACTGTCTATTGGATCTGGGAACACAAAAGCTGCTGGTGACCCTGACAGGAGCAGTTCCAGTGGACTGGAAGTATGGGTAGTGACTGTGGGGAGTCAGATTGGAATGGGTTGGAGGGTGAGTGGGAAGTGAGGAAACAGACACAATGTGAGTAGACTTAACAAGTCTGGCTATTTAAAAAGGGTAGATATGAAGAGAAGTAGAGAGAAATGGGGAGCACAGAGAGATGGAAATGTGGGTTCAAGGAAACAACCTTGTCCTTTTTCTTAAGATCATAAATGCGAGGGCATATTTGCCAATGCCAGTGTAAGGAGTTTGGATTTAATTCCAAGTGCAGGTAGAGAGGACAAAAGAAAGTGCCTCTAAAGATGAAAGAAGGACATGACCCAGAGCCCATGTAGAAGGAGGAGTGGCTTTTGATAGGAAGGGGGCACCTAGCAAGGCCATCATCAGCTATGAGTGCATGGGGGACAGGAGCTGTAGGAAGTTGGAGAGGGAGAAAAAGGTATGGAATAGTCATGGGGAGAAAGGAAAAGCAAGAGCACCAGACAAGGGCGGTAGGACTGCCAGCAGTACAGAGTGCCCATTAGAGAGAAAACTTCATTTAACCAGGAGTAGAAGGATGCTTCTACATCAGGAACAACAGCAAGCATCACACTTCTTATTCCTGTTAAAATTATGAACAAGACAAAGATGGCCAGAGCACTGCTCTTACAACACTAGTCCCAGGACCTCACTAATACCATACAATAAATAAAATGTGTAAAAATGAAAAGGGATGATTCAAAAGTCATTATTTGCAAACGATATAATAGTCAACTTAAAAATTCCACTTCAGGGCCGGCCCGGGGCTCACTTAGGAGAGTGTGGTGCTGATAACACCAAGGCCGCGGGTTCGGATCCTCCAAGATCCATGGAGACCATGTGCCCTGTGGTGCCAGTGTGAGACCCAGCAGGTAGGCCTCACCACCACCACCTGACTCCATCCCCAGCCCGGCCGAGTGTGTGCTGACCAGAGAGCTGCCTCCCCAGAGAGGCCCAAGACCCGAGGCAACCACGCACCCAAGGCACTAATGGGCAACCAAGCAGACACTGAGGCAGCTATACCAAATTGGCAGC